GTGCAGGTCAACCCAGATAAAAACCTACTCGTGGGATAACGCGCAGGTGGTGCTGGCTGGGAATAAGTGTGATATGGAAGAAGAGAGAGTGGTCTCGGTGGATAATGGCAGACTGCTGGCGGAGCAGTTGGGTGGGTCTCAGAGCAACATTCAGCACTTGGTGTTTTTAAAACTGGGTTGCATCACAGTCTGGTTTTTGCAGAAAGACCTTTGACATTTATTTGTTTTGTACAGACAGTCAAGGTTGTTCTAAACAAACAAAAACACCCCACATTTATCTTGTGATCATTAATCGGTCATTTCTACGTTCTGATCCCAAGGTTTCGAGTTTTTTGAGACAAGCGCCAAGGACAACATCAACGTGAAGCAGACCTTTGAGCGTCTCGTCGACCTAATTTGCGACAAGATGTCTGAGAGTTTGGACGCTGATCCAGCTGTCACTACGGGAGCGCCCACTGCCAAACTCACAGACAGCGCTCCACCCCTCCAGCAGCCCGGCTGCAATTGTTAGTGAGCCATGTCAAGGAGCAGGAGAGCAGCACAGGTCCTGTAAGGTGGTAAAAAATTGTTCTCCCTGAGCGTTATCATTCCTGCTATAGTGCTGCTTTCCCCTGGACTACACTTCAAACCCCGTTTAGTCGTAGAATTACAAAAATCTGTCCTATTATCTCTTAACTTTATCAACTTATATCAATAGCAAATAACCAGGAAAACAAACGTGGCTGTTGTAAGATGCATAACATTACAGTATAACTTGAATACACAGACACCATATTCTCATTCTTTGGCTAGTTAGTGTGGTTACAAACCAAGTATGTTTCATAGGCTGCAAATAGTTCACACTGTACACTTAATCCTTAAGACCTTTAAAAGCTATAATAATGATGATAATACCTTGAAGGATAGTCAGTGAGTGCTTTAATAAGCTTTTATTTTTTATGTTTTTGTACAGTATGTTTTTTCCTTTTATAGGTTCCTGAAGCTGCCAAATCTATGATTTAGTGCACTATAGGATGTAGCGGCTTTCTTTTGTGTAACACGTGTGTGTGTGTGGCTGTTGTGTGACTGCACAATAAGTGAGTGCGGGTTTGCGTGAATGCGAGTATTATGTCCGACTGCAACGTCGCCATCTTAAAATCATCTACCTTGGAAAAAAGTGGCCTTTTAGCATCTTCAATACGGCCTCTGTAAGTCCCTCTGTCCTGTTTTACTGTTGGAGTGTGTGTAACGTTGACGTGAGTACTGTTCCACCCTCCGCTGTCTGTAGATGTAATTCCTCTAAGTATATCTAATAAGTATATCTTAAGCAACCATTTCCATGTGCTTAGTCTCCAAGACACTCTTTTATAGTTCAATCCAATGAGCATGCTGCCAAAAACTCAATAATGTGTGCTGTTTTATTTTAAGATAGGCCTTACCCAAACCTAACCATCCCCTGCTCCAGATGAAAACAGTGATTTAGCATTCCATTAAAGGAAAAATCTCTTACTGTCAAAGCACAGCTCACTGTGTGCGATACACAACAAATGATCAGCTCTGTCATGGAATAAACAGCCATATATTAAAATATGTTTAAGTTTTGACTCAGCATGCTTAAATTCCATGTTTGTATGATAAAATGAAGTCCTCCATCCTACCCCCACCCTCTGAAAAAATTGACAACAATGTAAAAAGGGAAACTTCTCATAGCGGGCATATACCGTACTCTAGTGTCTTAATGTAATTCCATGTAATAGAAACGTTGTAGGTTGTTTGAAAAGCCAGAAAAGTTTCAGTTCTGCTAGTCTTAGAAGAAAATAAATTGTGCCAAAACATTACAGTTCTTTTCACATCGTCGGTTGTTTGTCACATAGTTGAATAAAAGCTCTAAACAATTGCATGAAGTCAGTCCTGATATACCTGTGTAGATTTATATGATAAGATACTGTATATATCACGCTGTGTTACAGATTTAGGAGCATTGTCATGGCGTTCGCCGTGAGATGCAATGGGCCAATAAGTGCAATATTTTATGAATTATACCCTGTACATAGTTTCTCCCGTCCTCGAGTACAATGACCCCAGCTGCCGTATGTGAGTGACAGTAGGTCAGAATAACTCGTAAAACCCGAGGATGTGCTTCATTCAGTAACTGAATGTGCGACTGTAAGTGTGTATGTGTGCGTGTACCTGCCATATTGAAGAGACAAATTACGTAATATAGTGTACTGTTTGTGTATACCTTTTGTACAAATGTATTCACATACTATATGCTGTTCCTGCTAACTGTTGGTTGTTGACCGAACTTGTATTATCATGTCAAAATGCAGTGTTGTTGTGACAGATAGTCAGGGAGAAAACTTAGTCCATGACACATGCCATACTGTTTTACTAATGCCAAGAATAGGAATACACATGAACTAGTTTAAAGCGCCTGCGTGTACACATCTGTGTATGTGTGTGACATTATGATTTGATGCCAGTAGCCATGAAATAAATTACTGTAATGATCGCATTCATTTCATAGAGGGATGGTTAGCCTCAGCCCAACAGTCACTCTAGTAAAAATGCCATTTTAAAATATTATGTCTTTACATATAACTGAATATATTTATTTGTTGGAGTGCAAGCAGACTAAGAAGTATGTTTTTGAGATTATAGGAAATAAATCCAATTCTATCTGCGGGCGTTTGTGTCCTTCGTGACTCTTTGTTCACTCGTGAAGCGTGAAGATTGCTCTCCAACCCGCACCTGATGTTTCAGTGAAATTGCTCTGGTTCCATTTTAAGGCAAAGTGCGCCACCTAGTGACACGATGCTGGATTAGCACCAGAGCGGAAGTGACGAATTTATGGTGAGTCGAACCCACTATGACTGTATTGTACATTTGAACGTTGTACTTTTATCGCACTTATTTTGAGTAGAAAATGTTGCATTTATCGTTTTATTTACTTTTTTACTATAGTTTTACCTGATAGGCATTGTCATAGGTACACACTATTAACTGTAACTCCATTGGAGGTGCAATAAAAACACAATTGTGAAGCTACTTTAAGTATACAGTCACCAGACATTTCATTAGGTACACTTTGTTAGTATTGGGTCAAGCTTTGCTTCATTCTTCATGACAAAGTGCTGAAAACATTCTTTAGAGATTTTGGTCCATATTGACATGATCGCATCGGACAGTTACTGCACATCCATGATGCAAATCTCCCCTTCTACCACATCCCAAAGGCGCTCTGATGGATTTAGATCCAGTGACTGTCGAAGCCACTTGAGTACAGTTGTCATTTTTAAGACAACAGTTTGAGATGATTTGAGCTTTGCTACATAAACAGTTTGCTAGGTAGGCTGTGGTGTACTTCGGGGTGACTGTAGCTTGGTGGTTGGTTGGAGGTTCGATCGCTCACTCTACAATCCAAACGTTGCAGCAGAAATTGAGAAATTAAGACTCGTCTCCTGCTGTCCTAATCTGCTGAGCCTGCGTGAATTGTAGACCACACTGTCTAACACTTTTGACAGTTCTTAGTTGACAGTTCCAACTGCTTTAGTGTTCAACATGTTGTGTTTTCCCTGTTCTCTTGTGCATACTTTGGTTTAGTCTTTCATTTATTTAATGTTGCCTTCTGATCAGCTCGAAGCATTCTGGCCATTCTACTCTGACCTCTGGCATCAACGAGGTATTTTCACCCTGAGAACTGCTGCTCACTGGATATTTTTTCTTTTTCAGACTGTTCTCTGTAAACCCCAGAGACGATTGTGAGGAAAAATCATAGTAGATCAGCAGCCTCTGAAATACTGCCATGTTAAAAGTTGCTTAAATCACCATTCTTCCCCACTCTAATGCTCCAATTGAACTTCAGTAGGTCATCTTGACCATGTCTACCTACGTATCTACCCAAATGCACCAAATTGCTGCCACGTGATTGGCTTATTAGATATTTGCATTGATGAGATGATAATGTTGTTTGTCCTAAATTGCTCACAAAGCCTATCCTTGTTGTCACAGGGCAAACTCTGGTGCGCATCCTGGACAGGCCGCCAGTCTATCGGGGCTAACGCATAGATGCACGGGATCTTTCACACCTATGGCCAATTAAGAATCACGAATTACCCTAATACCCACGTCTTTGCCTCAAAGACATCATGTCACTCGGATGTACAGCTGCTTTGTCTTGGCTCTTCCTCTTGAGCATTTCAAAGCAATTTGTGCATTCATAATTGCTGAGAGACACGTGCTCTACAGCAGTGGTTTGCCTTAGTATTTTGCACACCAAAGGGCAAGCCACAATTTCAAGGCACCGCTTATATTCATATCAGCAGAAAGTTTATATTTTTTCACTGCCGAAGTGTCAAAACTTATGCCTCAATCACCTTATGAGACACCTTCAGAGTTCAACAAGTGGTCTTGCTGAACCCTGATTCTTTTGAAGTAGGTATGAAGAGATTGTTTTATGAGGAAACTGTGACTCAATTATCCAATACCTTAAAAAACAATCCAAGCAAGAAATGATTAGGCAGAATCAACCCATGCTTTTATTTAATCCATTGCATATAAAAACTTTTTTCATTCTTTTTATTTGTTTTTTACATAAAGTTGTATGATCTACAGTGCTATCCAATAGACTGCAATTAACAAGGAATCCATTAAAATAAAATTTTAATTGTCCTGTGAAACGTCCAGACAAGTTGGCATTCTAAAGACATAACCCAAAATATAATTGTCCCAAAGACCTTTTTTTTCTTCTTTTTTTGTCTTAAAGTTACAGTTTGTATTCTCCTTTCATACCATAAAAAAATAGAACACATAATGAGAAAAGAACCCACTATTTCCATTGGTCCAGGGCTGTTTAGAATCTACAGTATGTGTGTCAAAATAAGAGTCCATGTTTCAGGACAATGATGCAGTCGCCCAAACCCCTTGAATCCCACCCCATACCCCCACCCCCACCTCTCCCTTCACTACACAAATATAATAAACCCTTCTCCTGTGCAGGCAGAGAGATGTCAGTGGTTTTGGATATTGCAAGTAATGTGAGTGGTCGTGCGGGCAGAGCATAGATAAGCAACACACCGCCAGTGTTTCAGCCATAATTAATGCAGCAGTGGCTGAACATGCAGATGTGTCTCGAAGCCTCTGTGCTTTGTAGGGCCGTAGTCAAGCAACAGCTATACACTACTGTTGCGCCCCATTCAGTGTTTCTGTAGCTGCGAGACAGCCACGCAGAAGCAGGTGATGCGGCAGCCAAAAAAGCGACTCCCGCATCACGTCTCCTGACAGGCTGAATCACATCTGTGAGTGTAGAGGCAGAGCGTAAAGGAAGTGTGAGCTGTTCAGACCAGGTCTACAGCAAACTCGACTCTGGGGACACCCGGCTGGCTATAGGCCACACATCACTCATGTGGTAAATCTCAGGCTTGCGGTCGAACCGAGTCTCCACACACGTCTGCACCGACGGCGTATTTTCAAAGCAGCGCCGTAGCTGCGAGTCAGAGCAAACCGTGTTTGGCTGTGATTGTGGAAAAGGCAACTTTTCTCAGCAGGAGATCGGGCCGACCCGAGCCAAAAAGATTCACCACTGCAGCAAAAAGAGAACTAGAGAATTCAAAAAATAAAAAGGCTAAAAGTAAATGACGTGTTGAATTTAAGGCACAGCCCATGGGCCAAGGAACAGTTTCTTTTTTTTTTTTCTTAAAAAAAACAATTTGGCTTTCCTTCTCTCTTCACTGAGCTACTTCTCAGCTAAGCAACATGTCGATGGATCGTTTTTGTTTGTTTTTTTTTCTTTTTTGTTGTTTTTCTTTTTTTTTTACACTGAAATTCATGTGTAAATAAACATTCTCTCAACAAGAGGTACATAATACAGCCACGCCATCACCAAAAGGGATGATAAGAATCAACCATTTACAGCAAACTGCATTATGATAGTAATAACATTAATAATTATATATTATGTACAGCACAATAAATATATGTTTGTAAACAGCGATAAAACCAGAATTTTTTTTATTACAGGTAAGGGCTCTGGGTGAGGATGGGGGGGGGGAAAAAGAAAGAAAAGTATTGGCACAAAATGAAAGATTAAATAAAAAGTTTTAAAATGACACATAATCAAAACGAGCACTCTTTAAAAAGCGGTGTGCAGTACTTCAAGTGGTTTTTTTTTCTTTAAAGAGGTGGATTTTCTTTTAAATATTGTATGTACACTGGGGTTAAAAAGTATATTTGGATATTGTAACCTGCAAGCCTGCGATGTGGTCTATGCTACAGTAAAATATTTACTGTACCACCTTCATAATGCAAAAAAACCAAAACACACACACACACACACACACACACAAAGAGGGGAAAAAAAAGAATCAAGCAATAAATAATAAATTGAGGCCTAAAATATGATAGAAAAAAGTGAAGAGTTTTGGCTGTGATGTAGGGCGACAACGTTCAAGCCTATGTGCGCACGCGTTTTGGCGAGTTTAAATAAAACAATAAATGTAATCATAAATGAATATATGCATCTGTGCAAGAGTATCTGGATATCTGTAGAGGATATCTGACGACTGCACGATGGAGCTGATTGTCTTGTCGAAAACAAAGACAGTAACTGGAGTTAACGTCGTGTAGGCAAAAAAAGCCCTATAAAAACAAAAATGTGTTCGTGATGAAAAGCACATTTACAACAGGTAAAAGAAAACACAGTGACTGGAAAAAAGCAGCAGTTCTTGATGTGCGTGTCAAATAAGGGCAAGAAAATGAAAAGAAGGACGATAAAAAGCTTTCGTAGCATTTGTATAAAATCACCCTATAATACCATTTCTATTTCTGTATACTTGGAGCACTAAACAAGCTTCTAAAAAAGGTGCTTTTTGTATCAACTACAAAGCATTGCATTGTCTTAGGATGTGTTCAAAAGAACTGCAGGCAACGACAATTAAATTTAAAGGCTTGTAACAATGTAACTGAAGTGTGAAAACCTCGGCTTTCACGCTTCCTTCTCGGTGAAGACGCTCACCAAAAACAATAGTTATTATGAATGAATTCCAAAATTCAAACTGACAGGACAAACCAAATATGAGTACAGTGGCATGGAAATAGTAGTATAAATGCTATTGGAGCAAGTGCAAACAGCTCAGAACACTCAATGTAACCCAGCTGTAAAGATATCCCCTTCAAGAAAAAAAACAAAACAAAACAAAAAAACACTGAACATCTACGACACGTTTCTCCCCCATTAGTTTCCAAAAGTTCCCTCGTTTTCTTTATTTCTAACAAAACAGAGCCTAAGATTGCAAAAGTAAATTCTAGAAAATATCTGAATCTTACATACAGTACGATACAAAAAAATTAAAGAGGTCTAGGACAGCGACACAGCCGTTTCGATTTGAGCTTGGTGTCAGTCAGGTTTTCAAGGAAGACTTCCACAGCAGAAATGTGTCTCAAAAAGTTCCCCGGTATGCTGCAGCTTTCATCTCTGCGGCGCCCCGTCAGGTTTTCTCGACCGGATGACAGCATAACGTGCCTCCTAATTTGTAGCGGGAGGGGGGGATATGACCTAACCGAGAGGGAGGTTCTCCTTGAACACGCCAACAACTGTCTCTGTAGAGTATGGGCACTTAATAAAACACGGAAACACTGGCAAACCTTCGGGCGAGGCTGAGATGAAGCAGAAAAGGAGGAAAACGTGATGTTACGTACAGTAAGAACAGCACGGAGGAGACTGAACTGCTGGTCCACATCCTAAACTTAAGCCTGTAAAAGGGAGGGGGGCTGTAAAGGTGAAATAAAGACACACCACTTCAGTACAAATGGGAATGGAAAGGAGTTTTCCTGAGTGCAAAAAAACTTGAAGTAGTACCAGTGGGCGTGTCTGAACAAAGCGGGCAGGGAGGAGTGGCCAAGGTGGGGAGCAGCGCACGCTTTGGAACCAGAAACATGGATGTATAAAAAACACACACAGATTCAACAAAACCCAAAAAATATTCTATAAATAATCATCTGTCATTACTAAGAAGAAGAGTTAATCAGATGCTGTCCATAAACTGCTATGTGTCAGGGGATTTCGCTTTCTCCTCTTCCTCCTCTTCCTCCTCCTCTTCTGCTACCTCTTCCTCGACAACACATGATTGTGAGCAGGGTGTTTCTCCCTCTTCTACTACCTCATCATCATCGTCATCGTCCTCCCCCACCTGTTCGTCCAAAGGTATCTCTGTTGATTCAGAGTCCTGCGTACAGAGTGTTTTAGAATCAGTACAGCTGTTTTCCTCCTCCTCCTCTTCCTCCTCCTCCTCCTCCTCTGGCTGGCTGCCGCTGTCTTTCTCAGTGTCCGACTCCCCGTCCTCCTCCAGGGTGAGCTCGAATTGGAACTTGTCCCCTCCCGGAGGTCGAGTGCTGTCCTCAGGCTCGTCCAACGCAGGGGAGGGACTTTGGGGGATGGTGCTTTGGTACCACTCTCTGTTGTCTTCTAACGTGTCCAGGATGTCCTGGGCATCCGGATGGACCAGGTCAGCCCACGTCTCCCACAAAGGGTGGACGATATAGTCTATGAATCCAACCTACAGAGGACACGCAGGGAAAACAGGACTCTCAGTGTGTGTCTACACAGTACACAAGTACAGTACACTTATCTGCCTGTGTGTGTGTTACCTGGCTCTTTTCCACTGAGGCATTGTGTTTGTCACACATGGGGCTGATCTCCATGCCCCTCTCCCGTTCTCGGTCACCTTGGCTGAAAAACTCTTCCATGATGCGATCCGTCCACTGCCGGTACAGCTGCAGAGGCTTGGTGGGGTTGCTCAAATCTGCACAGTGCACCATGTTCTGGAGAACCTGAATGTGACCGGTAACACAGTCTAAAACACAGCGCCAATGTCCCAAAAGACAATATAGACAGCAGTAGGAAATGCTACAACAGAGACGTGGATATTAGACAGCCAGTTTTACCTGTATCCTGTCAGAATAGTTATCCAGCAGTAAGACACCAGAGCTGGTCACTTTCTTAGTTTCCACCATTGTTTTCAGATCAGCCAGCAGATTCATGTGCTTGGACATGTCTGTAGCTAGCACCTTATAAAGACCAACAACAAACTGTTACTAGTACTCAGCGAAGAACACTGTCGCTTAATTTGTACGTAATATACTACACAAGGCTTTCTACTCAGCCTTTATTACAAAAGATGAAACTCTTTTCACTTACGATGTCAATGACCATCTTTCGCAGTGATTGTCTTTGTTTTTTGGTCAAGTTTTGGAAGATGTCACAGTTCTCCTCTTGCAGGAGCTTGAAACCGACTGCTAGATGATGGTTCTCTAAGACGGACGAGTCATTGTACATCAGTGCCAACTCTGAATCTGCAGGGGGGAAACGGTTGGTTAGTTTAGTTTGCAGAAACTTAGCAGGAAGCTGATAAGTCCGCTGGTACACTTCTGTACATCCAACTGGAAATTCTTTTCAAGTTGCTTTTAGGCTAAGCTTAAGTTGATACACGCTGCACGCCACTTTGTAACCCACCCCATCTCTTCCTTTTCATGCTTTGTCCTGTTAAATCAGTGTCTGCAGTCATGCATGCCTGCTCTTGTTCTGTTCTGGAGGTGTTGCTGCTGCTCTCAGTGCTTTGTGCTTTCCACACATGTGCATGTGCCAAAACCATACCGCCAAATACAAATTACCATAGATGGGAACAGCAATTCTAAACTGTACATTTCAGTTTAATTAGATCCATAAGACAATAAATGTGCAACAATCGCCTATTAGTGCAACAAATTTCTCTAATGGCGTCTTGCTGAATTTTATGTGTGCTGCTATGGATTCCTTGGTGAATGAGCAGCAGAAGAAAGCCCCATCATGTTTACCGCTGAGAGATTTCCCACTCGCGGTCATTTGAAGGACCTCTAGCTGTATTTAGATTTTCCATTAAGATGCATTAGTCTTGGCCACAGTGAAACCGAGCAGCAGAACAGAGAAAGGGGATCCTGCTCCGTTGCTCTCTGGCTGACAGCAGATCATTCTGGTGGCACTTAACAAGGATGACTCACTCTGCCTTTACTGCAGGGATTCCCCATTTGGGGCTTATGGTAAGCACTACACATTTTATGTGTGTGCTACGTGTATGCGACTGCATAGTGTGCCTTCTGTTCTGAGGCTGGTGTTAGTAATACTCTTATGCATTTGTGCCCAGTGGATATAAACTGCTTTTGTTTGAGTTTTCCTCTAAACCGCCAAATTAAGGTGATATTTGTGATACTGCTAACCATAAGCAAGTGAGTCAGTTAAAGTGAGATAAGAGGGGTTTAGTGTCTAGCTCAGGGATACATTAACAAACACAACAACATGAAGCAGGCATGCAAGTCTGGCATGGTTATAAGCTCAGTTGAGATGCTTCTATCACTACTCTTGGTGTTAGTGAGTCACACAGATTATCTGGCTTTTATTTCTTTAGGTTTTGATAAATCTGTCTTTGTGATGTCTACCCTTCACTCAACAATGGAGATTACTGGAATTTAGCAACCAAAATGCAATGGCCTATAAAAAGAAACAAGACTCTCAGCGTTGATTAGCTACCGCTTGATGTAAACAAGAAAATATTGAGGTCAGCACATATAGTGTGGCTACATTTGTCCTCAGAAGGACGTTTTCCTAAGAATCCTGAATGATGTTGAGTACAGGGATTAGGGCAATTATTGATCGTCTCTTTGAACTCCTCTGCTTTGGAATCACATGTCAAAGCCATCACACGTGCCTGCAAAAAACATGCTGGTAAACACGTGCATGTGTGCAGGCACTAAGTGTTTAAGCCCAACCTGCACATTTGGGGTTGATGCAAGAATCAATTCAGAGTTTGGATTAATTATGAAATGCGATTTATGAGAGAAATTATATTTATAATGCATATGTATGTTTGCTAACGAAGCAGAGGCATCAATGTGCATGTTCTCACCTTTGTGCCAGAGTGTGTGCGTTTGTGAATACTTGGTAATGACACAGTTGCTAACACTCATATTCAGGCTTACTGGTGTTAATGAGGAACTGGTTCGAGACTCCGGGATGGTCCACGTCATGAATTGCACTGGCAAAGATGGCAGCGAGGATCTCAAGGTCTGTGAACACAGCCTGGAAAGAAGAAGAAGCAAGTGTTGAAGGGAGAGCGGAGGGCACTGATGCGAGAGTCAGCTCGCTGGATAAAAATACCCTTTCAAGTTTAGAGCCATTGATTGGACGTGGAGAAGGAGTTTGATTGAAGCTGATTGTGGAAGCATGGCCTACGTGTTTGTGAGTATATGCATGTCAATGCATGTGTACAAGAGTGCTCCATGTCTTTGTGTGTGTGCGTGCACTTGCACCTCACCTCAAGGGCAGGGGTGGATAGCAGCACGTGAGTTGACTGGGTGACGTCAGCAGCATGGATGTTGTTATGATAGGCCACATCGGCATGGTAATGGTCTTCTAAGGTCATCAGGTAGGTTATAAAGGTGTCAAGTGGAATTTTAAAAGTTTTTAACAAGTCTCTCTCCTGCAAATAAGAAATAACAAAGGGGGGGGGGGGGTATTACAATTAAGACGATTTGGACAATTTGGGGATTCATCAAGCAGCAAAAGAGCCAGAAAAACAGAAGAAGGAAGTCTTTACCTGGAATATTGTGTACATCATGACTGTCAGTGGTCGATTCCCAGAAAATTCAGAGATTTTAAAAACATTAAGGCCCCATTTATTCACATGCTCCAACTCCTGAAAAAATCAAAACCCCAAAAAACAATGAGATAAGATCAGAAATAAATTCCCTCAACTATATACATCAAATTGCACACACTGTGCACTATATTTATGTAAACTATGCACACAAACACACCTTAGCAAGTTCATCTTCGGTCTCGGTCTTGACCCCAAATCGAGGGATGTTCGAGTTTGTGAGGCTGGATGAGTGCTGCAGCTTTTTCACCCCACTGATCTGAGACATGGGCTTGTTCTTCTTCTCCTTCTCCTTTTGCGTTTGAGGGGATGGCATCTCGACTTCATGCTGCTTGTCTGGAGAGACACAGTGCAGAAAAAAAAGAAAAGAAAAGTGAATACAAAGATTGTCACGATGCAGGAAGAAGGGCGAGTCTATCTACCCGTGTCATCACTCACCCAGGAAGGTGTTGGAGATGAACTCAGAGACTTGGTTCCCAGAGCGGCTCATCTCCGAGAGGTGCGTGAGCTCTCTATTCAACATCCTCTTGAACTGAAAGCGGAGCACACACGTATATGAATAATGGGTTCAGTGTCTCGGAAAAAGGCATAATCACAATTACTTGGTTTTTCAGGTCAGAGGTGTTCAGAGGCACTTAATAATGTCATTTTCAAGTAAAGAACAGAAACTGAAAACATAGTTCAAGTTCCAGAACGTGAAAAAAAAAATCTATGCATGTAAAGAAAACAGATGATTTGATGGCATACACATTCCTAATAGCAACAGTCTTTTGCAGACAGATTTTTAAAATTTCAAGGAACAATACAGTGGTTATTCCCAGAAATTTCACCTTCTCTCACTTTAACACACACACACACACACACACACACACAGATTTAGAGGGCTGCTGCCCTGGAAAAACTGACAGCATTTATTTATTCCTCATTTGCTCTTAGCTCTCCGGTGCCTAATTGAAGTGGCAGGCCCAAATTTAGCTGCAGCTTTGGGTTTGAAGACCAAATTGATTGATGTGGAGGCAAACGCTTTAAATCACTGATGTTCCAAACCACAAAGTTACAAAACAGATATTTAAAAAACCCCTCAATGCACTATTTAATTATGAATGAATTTAATTATGAAATTGTAAAATGCACAGTGTATATCAATGATTTATGTAAAGCCATACTGATCACTTTAAGCAAGCCATAACACCACAGGAGTCTCTTTAGAGCTCAGTCCGATTTAAGAACACCCACAAGCTTTTTTTATAATGATGACACCAGAGGCTGCGAGCCACTTGCAGCCATTGTTGCAGAAAAGCGACAAATACAATAATTACAAACATATAAAAATAGCAACATATAAATAAAAATGCAACCTACAAGATTTCCAGATATCTGTATAACGTAAAATTAAAAGATTATGGACCTAAAAAGGAGAGACCTAAGAGTTGCTGTTTTCTTTGACCTAAGAGGCCACTTGTGCCGTTTAACCTTTGAAACAACCAGAATGGAAATAACGATCCAGAGATTTTGTGAAAACATCTTTGCTCTTGAATCCAAAGTCACCTAAATTATTGTTTTTTTCTGTGAATTACACCCAGGCAGCACCATGCGAGTACAACATCGGCTCTTCACATCACAAATGGATCAAAATGGAAAACGGACCCAGAAATCTCACACCAATGCAGCAACAGTTTGAGGAGATATATGACGTGCTTCGTATATCTCAACTGGTCTGACGGATGAAAGTTACAAAAAAACCATGTCCTCTCGATGAAAATTAATTTAAGCAATCACATCAAACTAGGTGTGAAGCACATGAATATATAAAAAAACTACACTAATACAAGAAGGGATCTTACCTTTATGTATCCCCAGGACACAGAGAGCAAATAATTTGCTTCAGGCATTTTGACAAATCAAGCAAACTGATCCAGAACCAGAAAAGGTGCGGGTTTATAGTCCGGTATACTGCTCAGTCAATGAAAACACTAGACAGCTAGTAAAACAAAGGCAGTTCCCGCCAGTTAAAAGACCTCAACCTGAGGAGCCCGCAGAGCTCGATTCCAAGTAAATCAGCTGTGCAGAGTCCGTAAGTGAAGCATTGCGTTCTTGCCCTGCAAATAACCAAAGAACCAAGCCGAAGAAAAACAGATTCTGACAGAGAAGCGGAAGAAACGTGTCTCCCCAAAGATCCGATGCAAGCATATTGTGACCACACACGGTGACACAGATTGGCATGTGAACACACAGAGTCAGGCACAGGGATGCACTGCTGAGTCTGTGAATAATTGATGATGGTGCGGATGCTTAGTAGATGCCAAAGCACCAGGACAGCAAAATTTTTCTCTCAGCAGCTCCCAAACAGGACTGCCTGGCTGCTTCTGTATGTGTGACACAAGCTCCCATGTGAAGCGTACAGGCTGCCTCCCTCACACGGTCGTACGACGGCAGCGAATCAGGGCCCGGATATGAAAGAAGTGTGAGCTCATCATCATCTCTGATTGGTTTGGATTGGAACAGACCTGAGACTGCCTGCTGTTTGATTGGCTGGGACTGAGGTCAGTGGAAAAATCTACCCCTTCCCTTTCCTTTAATTCCTGCGGTGCAAGGGGGATGTTAGTTTGTGTATGCATGTGTGTGTGTGTACAGTACACACCTACATTTGTGTGTATGCAAAACATGTTCATATAAGATGCATGGCCAACTGTTCTAACCTTCTGCACAGCTTGATATACAAGTGCAGGTTACCTCATCCAACATGATATAATATTTAAAAAAAGCTGAGGTCACCTTCCACCCCGGTATTCAAGCGAGGTGAGTCACAGCAGCATCACTGATGAGATGATGTAAACACACACACAAAAAAACCCCATCATTAGTCTTACAATAAGAATGAGCGTCACAGTTATCTGAAGTGGGCTCAATAGGACAGAAACTAAAAGTGCTGCAGCCACACAGGCTGCTCCGTGTGCGTGTCAGCAAGCTCGGGAGGTCGTCGCTTTAATCGAAGGCAAAAGACGAAACCTTATTCAAGCAGGAGTTTTTTGTTTTTCTTTCTGAAGCAGCGCCAAGCGACAAACACCTCCAAAGTGAGTATATCCACCTAATGCTTTATGAGTGCATTTCATGTCTCCAGCAGTCATTTTTTAATGTTGACATCCAGCATTATTGAATTATCCGCCGATAATCTCAAGTCTTAAATTTGAAATTTTACAGGAAAACCCACGTTGAGTCAGCTCACCAACGATGTCCCAGTGAAAAAAAAGGGCATTGACAGAGAGCTGTTTGCAGTTTGCTGCAATTCAAATGTACAGGGCATCTGAATCTTGTCCTACCAAAATGAGTGATATTAGATGTGTAAGCTCAAATAATTACTGGACTGCTTCTTGTAATTGCAGGTGTGGAAATTTTTGAACTGTGATACTATTCTTAGGATCTGGACAGGGGGTATTTCTAAGAAAAGCAGAACCAAACTTTGGTGAAAAACATGTTTACTTTGGACTTTGGTTTATTTAAAGAAATGTCTTAGTATAAACACTTGTTTATGCTCTTCAAATTACCTGTTGAGGTACTGGTCCAAAAACATTTCCAATCAATGTTCAGAGTTCAGACAGCGTGCAAGTTTTGATATTACAGCTTTACTGATAAATATTGCAGTGATGATGATGATGATGGATCATTTTTCTAATCATCACCACCATCTAACTTACCCCACCCCATAAACCAGGGGTGTCTGACGCATGGTCCTATCCTTATTAGGGTTGTGGGGGTGGTTGGAGCCTATCCCAGCTACCATAGGGCGAGAGGCAGGGTACAGCCTGGACAGATGGCCAGTCTGTTGCAGGGCAGGGAATGTACAATGAAGAGATAAAACTTGAGAGAAGAGCATGTTTGCCCCTGAAAAAAGGGCGGCATCAAACATCTGGGAGATGAGGGGAAAAAAGGCCCAGCATTTTATTAATTTCTATCGGCTGGCACCACATGTAAAACAGTGGAACACAACCGCACGGTAATTAACGCGTAATTCATGACACACAAGCATAAATGTCGGGGATGATGTCGGCCGCTAACATAGCTAACGTCGAAAGGACTGCAAAGGCTGCCTGCAAGAGGCCTTAGTGATGCTGATGAGCATTAATAAACAGAATATAAAATTACAATTGTCAAAGTTAAAAAGATTATTCCAGATCTTTATATGGTTCATATAAACTTCTTTTTAAAAATTTGAATCTTTAAAAAACAGTGAAAATTTGAACCATAATCAGGTTATTGAAACTTGCGCACACCCACACAAAACATCCACAGCCCCTGCGTTTCTTTAGATTTAGAGTCTGTTCTTTCTTTTTCATGTTGTGTATGTAAACGCACATGTGTGCATGCATGTGTCGAGTGTTTACATTGATTGAAAAGGGACCAAATCTGTCTCTGATTACTTTACGCCCCACTTCCACAGCCTGTTTGGCACTGTGAGTAATTTACAGCTACACTGGAACAGATGAGCCCACCGGCTCGCTGAGATCCAGTCGCTTTGATTGACTCACAGCCAAGCAGGCCAGCACAGGCCCAACACACACGCACATGTGTGCACGCACAACACATGGTCTCCTCTCAGGTGGACAGTTTAAACAATGCCCGCTTACACCTCACTAATCCACACAAACTCCCACTCGCTGTCACGCAAACACACACAAAGCAATAGCTTAGCCAAGAGGTGTGAACTCAAACTATTGGGTAAAAATTGGAAAGTGTCACACCGAGCATAGATGTGTGTTGTGACCAAAAATATCTGTTCCTGCTGTGTATATATAGCTCGCAACACCTCCAGATCAATGTATTTTTTTCGTTTCTCACATTCTGCATTTATTCGGGCAGCAGACGCCCCCTCTCCGCAGAGGGAGCAGGAACACTTTAATTGTTGTCAGTGTTATAGATGAAATGGGTCTGTCACCCATTCATGACATACAGAAGACACCAAGGAGGAAATCCATATGTAGGAAGGCTACAAACAGGTAATGGTAAGACTGGTTGGTGGTTCGATCCCCCGGCTCCTCCAATCCACACGTAAAAATGTGTCACAGGGCCAATACATAGTGCATGACTGTTAGGAAACGGGCTGTACCACACAAATACTAGTCCATGTACCATTTATAGCACAAAGTATACCTATGAAAACTAAGATCAGCAGCAAGATGCAAAAGCAAAGAGAACTAGCCACTAATTCAGCCACTGAAGAATGAGTCTGAACCGCATGTGTAAGCCCTCCTCGCTGAACTAGATCCAACTTTTAGGGAGAGACAGTTTGAATTCTTAAGGGAAGCTACATGTTATTCAGAAAAAGCAGAAACCTCTCCTCGCACAGATCTGAGATCAGTGATGAGAGGCTGCTAAACTAGGTGTTTCCTAAGGAACCTCTTGCTCTTTCTTGAAATGAGCTGCTAAGAAACACTAATAGTGAAATATCAAAAGAATAATACTTTTAATCATTTAAAAGTATCACTGCAACAAGTGGAGGAGATATAATCAGTTACTGGTTATACTTGCACATATTGTCTGTTGGCCTCATTATTTGAAACTTTGGCCACATTCAATAACAGCCCCTGCCATTATAGCAGTGTGCATATATAACAGGAAAAGCATAATTTAGCACAGGTCCATATTACAGACTTTGGTATTTACTTTACCTGCTGCAACAATTAGAGAGTCATTATGAAAACAGAAGATATCCACCAACACCCACTGGCTGCTGCTGATTTGCAAAAGACAGGGAAGCTCAACCTTACAGGTTTAGGTTAAAAAGAGAAGTGACACGATCCAGATTCTTGTTCAGGTGTGGCACCAGTCGCACTGCAAGTGAATCAGACTTTCTAAAACGGTGATGCCAGAAAAACAGAAAGAAAGTTTTAATGAGTCACTTGCCATATGCCAGGAGATCCGCAGATGAGATCACGACACAACCAAAATACACAAGTCTTAACTCCTTCCCACATAAAAAGACATTTGATCACCTCCCCAGTACCCTTAATGACGAGTTCTGAGACCTCAATAAACATCAATAAAGACAATTTTTGACGACCATCAGAATAGGTTCTAGGTTTTTCCAAGGGACGCCCTAGTAAGTTGTATACAAAAAGATCACAATCACTAACTTCTGATTCACACCTTGTCATTTTGTTCTGGAAGAAACCACTCAGTTCAGAAAAGAGTAACAACAGTTGCCCATAGTAGGAGTCCAAAAGGGGGAAAGAGTTCTTGCCTTTAGTAAAAAGGACACCTTCGAACCTGAACATCCAAGCATGACACCCTGATATTTCAAATGAGAAAACAGCCAACGCTAATCAGACTTGACTAGTGCACATCGATCTTACAGAAGAGCAAAAGAATCCCCGAAATACTTAATCACACACAAAGGAAAAATATCTAACCACGGGAGTATCCTGAACTTCAACCCACAGAGAACCAACAAGTGTCACCTCAGAGACCTATACGAGATTACAGCAAAGCGTCTAATAGACACGCTGTCTGTTAGACGTGTGTCAATTTCACACTTTGCCTCTGCAAAAGGGTGAAATAGACACACATGCAGAAGTTGAATTACCAGCAGGGGGAGATGATGATAATAATAATAATAATAATAATAATAATAATAATAATAATAATAATAATAATAATTTTAAAAAAGCCAAGAAGTCAGTAGTGAGTAAAAAAACATGTGAAGTACATTTCAGGGTCCTTAATCAGTAGAATCGATTAAGCTAGGTGGCTAATATGTACATACTGTCCGTGTAACTGTGTTAATAATGTCTAAGAGTCAAAGCTGGAAATGGACAAGCTATGCCAGTGGCTCAGCGATTCTATTACAGGTTTTGCCGTGATACTGGGTTGCAGAGACATGTGCACTTTCAATGTCAAAGAAGGTGTTACAACTGCAAACAACTTGTTTCATTTGGTGTACAATGGGTGTGTGTGCTGTGTGTGTTTTTAGCTACTGTGTGAAAGTGCATTAAGTAGAATGGCAGTACGAATGTCCTGGAGGGCAAACTGACCTTGCCTAACCTACTGTTACAGCAGCCTCTAAGCCTAACAGAGTAACCTTGGGAATAGTGATATTCCGAGGTGACGTGCAGTATTTTACCAGAATATATTGTGACCTGATTTGAGGGCAGAGATGATGAATGGGAACCCACAAGGAACTGTACTTTATGGGCGGTGAGTTTTAACAATGGTCCCAAACACTGAGAGAAGTGATTTTTCCGTAATTTTATTCCATTTTCCTCAAATGAATTCAATCTTCTTTTTTTTTTTGGTTTCTTTTATTTATCTCGACGATGAGCTGAGGATACCTTTAAACACCGATGTTAAAGTCTGCGGGCTCCACACATAAAGTAATGGCCATGTGTGGGAGATGTAGCGACTGTATTACATGTGATGTCTTTGTCTGTACGTGTGTGAGTGTGTATGTGTGCATTGCTGGAGTGAGATAGCAGGGCGGCTGAGCCTGTGGCTGTTGCCATGACGACCAAAGATAGCTGTGCTGATAAAAGAGAGCATGTTACAGTTTTTTTTTTTACCTCTCTCTCTCTCTTTTTAAAGAAGTGATTTTTTTAAAATTTAAATGAGGTAGATGTGCAGCGTGATGTGTGTGATCGCACTAACATCAGAGGTGAACCTGTGCTTTTTGTTTGATTCCTTTGTCTGTCTCTCCTCTTGGTTCGTCCCACCTCGTGTGACATCACAGTGTGTGACATCACCACAGCCCAGAGCTGATCAGCATTCAGAGCAGCACACTAACACTCTCACACACACGGACACACACACGCAGTGGAAGCGACTGAGCATGCTCATACCAAAACTCCTCGCTTGCATGACGATGCTATCGCTAACATATATAGACCATATAACATAAACAGACCAATGTGCGGTGTAATGACTGATGAGTATTAAGAAAGACATTAAACCACATAATCAAGCAGCACATAGATCAACCACACACACACAAAAACAAACAAAATGTGGAAGAATCAAGTTTCTACAGTGCTGCTTTTACAGTGGGTTCATAACGAGTCATTATTAGAGATGAGGAGGTCTAAAGACAATGGAATTATGTTTAAAATCAACTACATCGACAGCCTGTGATACAATGGATCTCACTATTGTTTGTTAGTTTGCTAATGCAGTGCTAAAAGTGACATAAGCTTTGTCCAAGAAAAAAAACCAAGCCATTACGGCATTTAAATTTATACAAGAGTTTTGTATAAGATGAGTAAAATGACTGTATTTTTACATTTCTTTTTCTTTTAGATGGACGTGTAAAAACACAGGCGTGGGTTAGCAACATGACAACTCCCATGAAAGTGTGCTGCACAATTTCTTTTTAAAAGATATATAAAGTTAATCATTGAACGCAGTTCTGTTAAGCAGTCAAGCTTCATTTAGTAGTTTAGCTTCTTAGCACTTTCAATCTGCAGGAAACTCTGTATATACTGTAAATATTTGTAAAAGTGCAACTTCAAGTAGAGGTTAGCACATACAGTGTACTGCAAGTCCCACACAGCATCAGCACTACACTGTATTTTGCTCAAACGCCACAAAATTAAAACAAAGCAGACAAACACTAAAGTGAAACCCAGGAAGCAACTTCCACATTACAGAAACAGAGAATACTTATAACATATACTGCCATGAATTTAAAAAAAAACCCCACAACAACAACTTTTTAGCTATTCTTACCTTGTTTGAAGCCATCTCACTGACTGAGTGTCTCGTCTGCAGCGTCTCCAGCTGGTCCAGGCACCAGTCCAGCTCCTCCAGGGTCTCAGTGGCCAGTTTCTGGTAGGCCTCCTCTGCAGGGGCAAGACAGGAGGGCAGGGGATCAGTAAGGACCCGCTTCAGAGGGCTAGTGGACGGTCCAGGCCCGGGGTCTCCCACCCCACAAACAGCTAAGCTGGGATACCCCGAGTAGACACATGGGTGACTCTTCATACTGGACAGGTGAGCCAGCTGAGGGGGTAGGGGTGGGGGGCGTGGGAGCAGGGCCTTTATGTCCCGTATCCTAACCCGCAGATGAGCAGAGGTCAGCTGTAGCCAAGCTCATTGATTCCCCATGGAGAAAAGAAACCTTCACCGCAGTCCCACAGTTCCCGGCTTCTTCCTTTTAAGTCAGATACAATCCCTGGGAGTATGGCTGTGAGAGATGGATGGCAAACAGCCACCCCGAGTCAATTCAGTGTGTCCAGATGCTCGTTAACAGTAAGGAAACATCGGCAGAGAATAGAGACGTAAACCACAGAGCAAAGAGAGCAACAGCAGAAAAACAGACTTCCTCACTATCACCCATACACAGCACACATATTCTACTCAGTGATCTGGGTGTATAGGGTTTACTGTATGATTCATAAGAGAAGTATAATTCCAGTCATGTAGCAAGATGAACAACAGTCTGCTTAGCAGGCCCATGTCTGCCATAGGAGGGATGGAGCGAAGACGGGGATCAGGGAAAAGAGGATCCAGTGAGAGGCTCAGAACCAGGCAAGATCCATGTCACTATTGTCCAGGGTGGAACAAACACAAGATCGTTCACAGCAACTTGACATGGTTAAGAAATACATCTCACAGACACACACACATACAAATACACGGACACCAACAGACGCACACATGCATACACATGCACACTCACACCAGACAAAATGCTAACCATAACACATCATGATTTTGTCTCCATAGCCTCTCTGCCAATGAAAACATCCATGGTATCCGGGAAGCAAAGGGTATAATCCAGTGCTGTGTGTGTACGCTGGACAGTGTTTCCTATGGATGCTGTGTGTGTGTGTGTGTGTATAGGGGGTGGGCTGCTGTTGCTTCAGCGTCCCTGGTAGCCAAACGTGCTGCTCTCCCCAAGCTGTACCTAAAGCCTGAGAGGACCGCACTGTGGATGGGGAAGGGAGATCATCAAAACATGGACTGGACTGCTGGAAGTGAGAAGCCAGAGCTGGGAGCTCCCTATACTGAGTGTGCATGCATGCCAATATGTGCTCAGCATACAAATACACCAAAAGAGAGAGGTAAACAAATAGATGGCAGACCATATGGTGAAGATGGCAGCGGTTTAGCGTGATGAGCCCGACATCGCAGTGCCACGGTATCCTTTTCTTTTCGTTTGAGATCAAAGACATGCACCTCTCAAAGTCAGCCTATGTTAGCAGAAAATGTCACCTTGTCAGAAGCCAATTAATATTGATGCCTTAACTAATTTAGGAAAGCAAACAGGGGTTTAATGCAATGTGATCTGTGATGTGTGGTCACTAAAGCCATAATTCAGTTACACAGACAAGGCAGCGGCAGATTAAAACACACGAGGACTACATTTAGTTTCGTGATGCCATATCAACTTAGCATTTGTAGGAAGTGTTTAAAGTGCCTTAAAGCCTTTGGGAAACACTGTTCTGTCTTCATATTGACTTTACTGATGTAAATGTGTACAGTTAAGTTTTCAAGTTCATAGCTCTCGATTGCACAAGTAGGACAAGATAAGTAAATTTTATTAATATCTCATGCTTTATATTTGGAAGAGATGCACACTAATTTTGTTACCATATGGGTCTGTTTTGTGCACAACAATGCCTTTCTATGACCTCATATTCTGAACCCCTATCCCGCTTCATTGTCTTTGACAAATCTTTCCCACCCTGCTTCCATTAGTCCCCTTCCTCTCCCACACTTCTCCACTGATCATCCTTCCCCTCTTTGTCTCTCTCTCTCTCTCTCTCTTGCTCCTATTTTTTGTCTCTCGCTTCGCTTCCCCTCAGTCTCCTTTTCTCTCTCGGTGTCTCTCTCCCTGGTGTGGTGTCAGTGGCTGGGGTGCTACTCTTTCTGACAGCAACTGCACTGACGTCAATGACATTCTTCTCATGCTTAGTGCGACATCAGACACCGGCGCTCAGAGAGGCCACTCTGCTGCACAGACGCAGGGCTGCAGCCAAACTATGTACCGGAACAGCTTGACAGTGAAGTTGGAGTGGGAGATGATGAGAAGAGGAGAGAGGAAGAGGAACAGCAAGGAGGAAAAGGAAGGAGAACGCAGAGCTCGGAGGAAGGACAGCTCTTGTGACACTGAGTTTAGCATCAGCTTTGAAAATAGCTTCTGGCCGCATCGCGTGCAATAAAAAAAGGAAAAAGAATTAATGTAACCAAAAACATAATTCTACTGTGTTGAATACTGAATGCGAGTGACACGTGCATCTCTTTAAACTCACCTCAGTGCCTAAATGTTTAAAAAGCTGCCATAACCGTTTGAATCAATTATGCAAATTACTGCCTGCCTGCATTGCTTGAAACTTGAAATCGTTGTCTGTCTCTCCCTCTTTACTTTAACCAGCAACTATTCTCATCCACAACAGGTAAAAGGTCAAAGAACTATTAGTGCATCTTTCCGATAACAGAAGAAAAAAAAAAACTGCTCTGGCAAGCGGGGGCAGGAAGCTAAAGATGGAAAGACAAGCAGAGGAAGGGGCAAAGAGCCCTACATGCAATCTCACTTTTATTGACCAGCATCTTCTCCTTGACTGATTTACCGACTTAATTTTAATTATACTCCCTTTATTGTCTTTCTCTGCAATGCGAC